CAGACGCTTCGCAGAGTCCAGTCGTCGTTGACGAAGTGCACCGTTAAACTCATATAGGGCTGCATCGTTCGGCTGGACCATAAATCTGTTGTGGCGGAGTAAAACGACACCGTTTCTAGCTCCCTTGCGATCCTTTGGCGTGTACTGTTATACAGCTGAGGCAAGGCAACTTCAGAAAAATATTTGTGGCTTGGTAGCACATACCTGGGGTCCAAAACTTTCAGCATGTGAATAAACCCCGGCTTTCCCACAGTATATATGGGCCCCATTCTTATCATACCGGATACAGTTTGTAAATGTTTGTAAGACTGTAGGTTGTTTTTTTGGCCGATGTGCTTGTGCTGCCGCGGTCTTGTTCATTTCGTAGGGCGCAACATCTCTCCCACTCGGCAGCATGCCTCTGTTTGAGGTGCTGCAGTAAATGGGTCGTACTGCTGCCTTTGCTAGCAACAGACTTCAAACACACTTTGCAGCGGGGTGTTGTTTGTTTTGTGTCTGACGCCGCAAAACCGAACCAATTCCAAATTACGGAGGACACTGTGCCTTTCTTGGGAATGAGTTCTTCCCTGCTCGCTGCCATGTTGTTTGTGTATCTCTAATATGGCAAGCGCGCGGGGGGAGGGCTGAGCCCATTCGGAACTACGGGAGCCCAGAGGGGAGCGTCGGCGGATATTAAAGAGAAAACCGATTTTCATTCAAACAAGTCGATGTAAACTACACATTCGATTTAATCGATAAAATCGATTTATCGCCCAGCCCTAATATAAGCCTATACATCCACAACAATTTCTGAAACCACAGACTATCCTATTATTCGTATGGCCATCACTAATGGTGTAATGTAACGAAGTAATAATACTTCAGATTATTTCATTTTCCACCCAAGTCGAGCCTGGGGTCTGCGATATACAGTAGGCTATATCTTCTGCGATAATATGGTAAGTGTTGTTGTAATGATATGCGATCTGACTTTATCAAGTATATCACCAAATCACACAAACAGAGACAAGAGTGCATGCACGTGATTTATTAGTCTATTCAAACTCAAAATTTAAGGCATTCTAAATTGTAAACGGCAAAAATGCTTCTGTATGCTTTTTATATTTATATAATTTAATAAGTTAAATCAATGATTCAGTGATTCACGCATTAACAGAGTTAAATACTTTGTTTCTGAATGAATCAGTCGTTTGAATGAATCGGTTGAATCTCAATGACTCACTCTTTAACAGTCACTTGCTGTCACCTACTGGCGGTTTTAATTTCACATTTCGACTATTTTTTTTTTGTTTTTTATTATTTTTTTATAACAGTATTCAGCGTTTTATGTTAAAAACAAAACATTAGGCCTATTTATGCATCTGTAACGTCTTTTTAGCAGCATCATATGACCCCTTTAAGACTTTTAAGTAATATTCTAACCGGTGACTTCAACTTCAACTTCATTTTCTGGTATGATATCTGTACTTTTACTTGAGTATGGCTTTCAGGTACTTTATACACCACTGTTTACAATGAAACCACTTACCAGATACAATGATCTTGAGCTCCAGACTTCAGCAAGGCATCTTCCTGTTCACCTTTGCAGGTTGACTCTTTTTGTATGTTTCATTGTTTTTGACTGTTGCATTGTTTGCTTCATTATTCACTAGATTCGGTCCTTTACACTGACCATCGGTGCCACAGTAAGTGCCTGAAACATTTTAAAACATGGTCTGTCTACATAAAACAATACTTTAAAGGGGTCATATGATGCTATTTTAAAGATCATTATTTGGTGTATTTGGTGTAACAGAATATGTTGACATGCTTGGGAACAAAACAAAAATACCCTTTTTTTGGAAAGAGACCAGAATAAAAACTATACTTTAGAAAAGTGATTCTTTATTAGTGTCAATTACTAATTTAAATTCTTACTTTAAAATATCTGGAAGACCATAAAACTACGTAAACTTAGAAATACATGCAGGTATAACTATAGGCCTATACAAACGAACAAACATACAGTACAAACACACAGAGTGAGACCTGAACATTTACCAGCCCTAATAATAATAATAATAAAAAATTTGGACTTTAGATGCAATTAAGTGATTTAGGGACTGCAACGGATGTAAATATGGAGCTGCATACTGGCTTGAAGAAGGGCGAGAGGACAATAGTATTTGATGTATTTAAAATTGTATGTATTATAGGTGGTGTGGGTCTTCTATTGATCTTAAATGATGCTTTATATACTGACAAAAGGCATATATGCTGTCATTCTTGGGTGGCTGCAGATTCTGGTGCTTCTCTGTCAAGACTTTTAGGGTTTCATTCATTGCCCCAAGAATGGCAAGGTCTTGGGCTTGTGCAGGATCAGATGAATATCTTCTTTTACTACACCTTTTTTTCCCTGTAGGCTGGACCTCGTCCTCCTCTTCCTTTTCTTGTTCTTCCTCTTCTTGCTCCTGCTCTTTATCATCACGTCTGTCATCACCTTCACCCTCCTCAAGTGAAGTAGTAGAGTCCTGTAAAATATTGTTTAAAAATGATTAATTCATGATTTATTTACAAATGTATTATTCTCTTTTCCAGTGCCCTACAACAGCAGATGAGTGGAAAAAAGTATCCGAAGGATTCCAAACCACAGCAAAATTTCCCAATTGCTTAGGGGCTTTGGACGGGAAACACATACGGATTAGACCCCCCCCCCCTCACTGCGGAGCACAGTTCTTCAATTATAAACACTTTAATTCGATTGTTATGATGGCTTTGGTTGACAGCAATTATAGATTTCTTTATGTTGATGTAGGGTGTAATGGAAGGGTGTCGGATGGTGGAGTATTCAGAGGGTCAACACTGCAAGAGTCTCTAGAGCAGAGAACTGCAAACATTCCCCAACCCACTCCATTGCCAGGGACAGACATGTCAATGCCCTTTTTTGTTGTGGCAGATGAAGCTTTTCCTCTGAAATCATACTTAATGAAGCCTTTTGCCAGGAGAGGGCTTTCCAGAGAACAGAGAGTCTTCAACTACCGGCTATCCCGTGCCCGCCGTATTGTTGAAAACACCTTCAGCGTCTTTGCGAACAGATTTAGTTTTTTTTTTTAAGCACAATTAATCTTGATCCAAATGTTGTGGAGGTTATTGTTCTTGCATCATGTGCCCTGCACAATTATTAACGCGATGAATGTGGCAATGCTTATCTGTGTGGACTAACTCATCAGGATGGGCAAGAAACCTGGAGGCAAGACCCTCCCCTGCAACAGGCAGCGCTGCCACGGTCCACAAATGCAAGTAGCGAGGCCAAGCAAAACAGGGAAAGGCTGATAGAGTGCCCTATACAATTTCACACATTTACAACCTTGAGGTTCCTTTCACTGTTGCTCGCTGCTACACGACCGTGTCCCATAGTTGTGTCTAATCTTTTAGATTTTTCATGTACATGTTATAAATCAAGGGATTTACAACATTAAAGAAATCCTTTTTCACATTTAAACAGGTTATAATAGTATTATAGTAGGTTGGACACTAGGTGGTGCGTTGGGGTAATTTTCACTATGCAATTGTCTACACAACGCAAGGCTGTCTAATTCTAAACTTTAAAATATACATTTATTTTTATTTATTTTAATTGCACATTTAAATTAAACTGAAGGAAATTATAAATTTACATGCTTAAGGATTATTTCAACCAAACATGAAGTGTGCCTGTGTGGAAAGTGACCCTTCTTGGGTCTTTCACAAAAACGAGTGAGCACCATTTAAAAAAATTTAAATAGGCCCTATATAATATGCACTGTGCTTAGTATTAAAATTATAGCTTCAGATGCATGATATTTGTAGGGCACTATGAAATCCGTTTTATTTTTCCAAAATCTTTTTTTCCAGTTAAAATTTTTCTGGATTCAGTTTTTTTTCTTTCTTTCGTTTTAATTTTTCTTCTGATTACGTAACTCGCGTTACTTGTAATGCGTTACTCCCAACACTGTAAATAACTGTATCTAAATAACTGGCTCATCTTGTCTACATAAACAGAATATTAAAGATGACAAAGGAAGGCCCTGTGCTGCAAGTTTAAATTCACACTGAACAAGCTACAAAACCTCAAAAAACAGTTAACGTTACTTTGTAGCATTTTAGTGCAAGCCCCTTTACCAAACAACTGTGTAACCATTTGCTTGCTAACACACTCCATTGAAACGCAATTGCGACCCACAAGTGTGTAACCATGGTAATATTGTAAGGCAGTTTTATTATAGTAATAATATATTGTCAAATAAATTTCCGTTGTATTTAATTATTGAGGCGAATCATAATATACCAACCTGAAATGCCAAGCGCTGTAGCGATCGATCTGATCGCATTCCCTCTCGCGTTGCGGTTGGTATACTCGGCCACACCCACCGCATAAAGCTCTGGCTTTATTCTCCTCCCAAAGATCCAAAAACTGTTCCTCTTTCTGGTTTGTCCAGAAACCTGCCATTTTTAAAGTTATTTTCCTAAGCGCGCCCAGCACCTACTTGCAGTCTTGCCTCGTTGTCATGGCAACGCTTCGTGGCCAGGTCAGATTACATCAGAGTTTGTTGTCGTTTGTTGGAAAATCATATCACACTGCACAGACATTCCACGACCCAACAAACGCCGATTAAACATGTTCAGTCGGGTTAAAACCAACTCCGACCAACGCCAACAAACTCCAACAGACTAGTCTGTCGGCGTTTGTCGGTGCGGCGTGAATTGGCCTTAAGAGAACAGAGTTTTGTTGTAGGTCACGTACAGCATTAGTAAACATTATATTTCCTCCTGCACATCTTTATATCCGCCGTGTTTGACCATAATCCAGTCGCTTATTTCCATGAAACACTCGGTATTTATTACGTGTAATTTATATATAAAGTGACTTCATAAGGACGAGCGGTGCGCTCAACCCGACATGAGCCAATCACAGCCGTTCTAGTGTCAGAATGGACCAATCACAACCGGGATGGTGCTTATCATTGGATCGTTTACAGGTGGTTCACAGGTAAACCGAGACCAGTAGAACCAGTTGCTCATCTGATAAGATCGCTGTAAACAAAAGCTTACAACTTCTGTCTTAATTATCGGTAAGTCCAGCATTTTCTTCTCATAATATGATGCAGTCATATAAATGTCACAATATTAGATGTGTGCGTGTGTTTGGTAAGTCGAGTTTACTGCGAGGTGTTTACTCGAGGAGTCAATTCATGAATAGTTTATCATTAAATGTATTTATTATACATTCCTGCGAATTCGAATCCATTATGAATCACATCGAAGTCAACTGTTATGTTTTCGGTTCTCCCCTGCTTAGTAGTGAGAGTAGATTAGGCCTATTATTTGTTTAATATTTACATTACATAGTACAGTAAATGAAGTGGGAGAGAGTGGGGGCGGTTATTTGTAAATTTAATGTGACTAGCATCCGCTTTCTGCTATTTTTAGCTATACAAAAGAAGCTGGTTTTGCTCCTTGATATGCAAACTATTGTTTCTTACGGTATTATTTAAATGTATTGTCTTAATTATAAACGCACTGTTTCGTAGCACAAACAGTTTTACAGTTAAAGCACTTTGTTATTCTTCCCGTTATCGCTAACATTCCCAGAAAACAGCTTACTTCCGCTTTAAGAAATAAGGTCGATATCTAGGCAGTCCCACAGGGTTATGTTTGCGGCATTTCTTGTGTTGTTTTGCAGTGAAAATATACCACAGACAACAACCTTCTAGCATTTTTATTACTTTACTGACTTCAAGAACCACATGATGGTTGTGTAATTTATAAAAAGAGAACACTGATAATGGCTTATGTTTTGTGCTCTGTGTTTATGATTTTATATACAGATATGAGTGGTGCAGGCATGCAACTTAACAAAGATTCATATACCTTGAATTGCTGAAGCTTTTATATGGTATCATCATGTTATTGGATGACCTTTCAAGAACTTAAGTGTTGTATTCTTAACCCTATAAAGCAGGGGTGTCAAACTCAGTTCCTGGAGGGCCGCAGCCCTGCGGAGTTTAGTTCCAACCTTGCTCCAACACACAAACCATGTAGTTTTTAAATAAGCCTGAAGGAGCTGATTAGCTGGACCAGGTGTGTTTAATTAGGGTTTGAGCTAAACTCTGCAGGGCTGTGGCCCTCCAGGAATTGAGTTTGACACCCCTCCTATAAAGCCTACTTTATAATTTTTAATACATTAATTTTTTTAATAAAAAGGCTCATAAAAGCCTGATGTATCAAGTATATGACAAAACATAAAAACACATATGCAAGCTTTTCTCTTTGATATTTTGTCTAAAGATAAAAAATAATAACATTTAAAAATATTTGATTCTGTGACTGTTATTTAATTATTTCAGGCTTTGCAGTGTTGATAACAAGTTGAGTTGAAATAGGTTAACTTACATTTTATCTGTATTAAAATGTAAGTTAATTTAACTTAATGTGGCATATTTTCTCTACTTGTTAAGGTCAAACTCGTCAAACATGTTTATAGTAATACAGCGATTCCAGAAATCTGTCTAAATGACATTTCAGTTACCTAGTGTTTAAAACAATTAACACACTGAAAGTGGATCACCATGTGTTAACAAAACCTGTGAAATAACTTTTAAACATGAAATCTCTTTCCCCTTTAAAATTACACTTCAGTTCCTCAGTGTTAAAAAAAAAGTCATGCCACTGATGCATGGAACCTGTACAAACATGCATAAACAACTTTTTAACTGTAAAATCAGCTAACACAGCTCTTAGTAGAAATGTTTAACACAATTCTGAATGTTTGTAAATACAAAAAAAAAAACATAAATCAATTTCTAAATCATTTTTAAAGTTCCCTGTTTTATTGTTGTGATTTTTTTTATGATTATTTTACTTCCTTTTATGTAAAGCACTTTGAATTACCATTGTGTATGAAATGGGCTATATAAATAAACTTGCCTTGCCTTGGGCCATAGCGATCATTCTGAGCGTTCATACTAGACTGAATGGAATAGGGAACACTTATTCACTATTAACTACGACTTTTACCTCAATAAATTCCTAATTTGCTGCTTATTAATAGTTAGTAAGGTAGTTGTTAAATTTAGGTATTGGATAGGATTAGGGATGTGGATAGGATTAAGGATGTAGAATAAGGTCATGTAGAATAAGGCATTAATATGTGCTTAATTGGTACTAATAAATGGCTAATATTCTAGTAATATGCATGCTAATAAGCAACTAGTTAAGAGACTGTAAAATAAAGTGTTAACCTGAACGAATTGCCACGTCATATTTACATTAGAGGCTTCTGTTGATGTTTTAAAATAAAGCTTTGAATGTCTGTCGTCACATTTTGTGAAGTCATCACCCTAAAAAATACGATCCTTTTTGTAATATAGCCTATAATTGTGTAAGAGCTACTAGACCTTTCCCAACTTAATAACAGCAGTTGTCGAATTGGAGGTGTCCACCCGGCTTTTTTTACGAATGGAAATTTTAGCTTAGCAATAGAATATATAAACAATTTGAACAAAAGTCTTTTGTAGTTTGTAATTTTAATAAAATAACAATGTTAGTATGAAATATACACACATTTAAGAAAAGTCAAGGAATTATAGTTATGTGGGTTTTATTTCTGCAAAGTTACTACATTGCAAAATTTAAAAACGGTCAAAATGACTGCCTTGGTAGTTCTAGTGTTAAAGGTGAAAATTTACTTGAAACAAATGCATGTAAAGTGTATTTACTTACCAAATTTGTTGATTGAGAAAATTTCCAAACTTTGTAAAGCTCACCAAGATGGCTGGCGAACATCTTCTGTCTACAACGGTCTTCATGAGTTCTCGCGAGAAGTGATTTTGAGAATGTGACATTGCTATTGAATTGATTCAACACATTTTTTAAGTTGAAGGTGCGAACACTCTAGTTCAGTCAACTTACTGAACAAACTAGTTGATTCAATTAACAAATTCAGAAAAGTTGTCAACTTAAAAATATTTTACTGTGTTTGTTATTCTGTTTAGTTTAATTATTTAACATACTTCAGTTTCACAAAAAAATGTGCAGCATTTTGTCCAAGCAATAATAAAAAGACAACTTTTAATTTATAATTTGTAACATGTCAGTATCGTGAATCGTATCGCATCATGAGCTGAGTGAATCGTTACATTCCTACAAAACATGTAAATACTGTTTTGTTCCATAAGCGCCACCTACTGTCCGAAAGTGAATTTACATTTTTATTCAGCATCTCCTTCACTCATTTTGTCTAGCTCCTCGTCCAGCCTCTTTTACTTAGCATACAGGCAGTGTTGATAAATGGAACCGGTTATTGGAAACGATGTCGTAACACGTGTCTAGGCTCAAAATCTGCGGGAAATGTGTGGCCCATTTTCAAAAAATCGCGAGCTCCTCTGAATATTATGGAACTTGCTTGATGTAGCTATTTGATACATTAATTATATACGTATATGTTTAACAATTTATTAAAGAAAGATATTACACTACATCTGACTACCTTCATAAAAAATCTTTGCATTATGTTTGAGTGTTGTTGTTGTTTTAACTAAAATGGTATACATAAATGGATTTCATTTATTTGGTAATAAGTGTATCTATAATGGCAGCCAGGTCACTTTTGTACATGTCTTCGGAAAAGAGCATCTGCTAAATACCTTAAATGTAAATTAGATATATAAATTTAAACATGAATTGTGCGTTATATACGATTAAAATCTATTTCATAATCACATTGTTTACATGTTTTGATTTACTATGGTTTCGTACAGGTCAGTTTGAGATTCAGATACCAGAATGTCCAGCACAGTCATACCCATGAACTCTTCAACGCTCATCATCCAGTTTCAACCACCAACACAAACAACCCCTGTTACGACGGTGACAAATGCTCCTGTGCCTGTTTATGTACAACAGGCGGCGGGAGTTTCACCTCTTCATGGACTTCAGGCGTTTCTGAAAGGCCAACCGAAAGCCCTTGGGGTGAGAAAAGTCTCATGATCCCAGATAATTGGTTTTTATTTTTGCATGTCAGTGTGAGGTGAGAAAAGTATTTGAATAGATTTTAAATGAGTAGTCCACACACTAACAAAGCATAATTTTTATTGAAGAATGTGACTTGCTGCCTTTGTGACAGTGCAGGAAAGACACCAGTATAAAATCAGGTTTATCGTTTACAGAGTAAAATAGTAAACTTTACAGTGTATCAGTCACAGAGAAGAATGTTTTAGGAAATACAATGCAAATACAATGACATTCATACAAATTAGTTCCACACTTGCAGAATATATATATATGTATATGTATATATATATATATATATATATATAGGATATTTTTCTTGTACAATCATAAGTCCATAACCACAGCTGCCATGAATTGATATTGTATATTTTAAATTGTTCCCCTTTATGAAAGAATCTTGTCGCACTCGGACTGTACATTCTCACACTTTCTGTGTTCTTTTTGTCCCTCACAGACGGTTCAGATAATGATCGGTGTGCTGACTTTCCTGTTTGGCATTGTGTCTACAGTTTATGCACAGTCCATCTTTGTTATTACTGGTCTTCCTTACTGGGGATCTCTCATCGTAAGAAACTATTATACAATTAAGTGTTCTGTCTTTTATGATACAAGCTACATATTCCAACGCAAGCCTTAATTTTTGCTTTTTTCTCTTTTCAGTACATTACAGCAGGCGCACTCTGCATTTCTGCAGAAAATAAAATTAATTCACCTTCCAGTTTGTGTTTGGTATGTATACAGCATTACTTTTAAGGGTCTAAGCCAACGGTTCTCAATTCCAGTCCTGGTGACCCACCGCTCTGCATATTTTGCATGTATCTCTTATTTAACACACCTGATTCAGATAATTAACTCATTAGAAGAGAGCTCCCTGTGTTCCCATTGTCAGGGTCCCTGAGAATGGGAAATCCGTTTAAGTTTACTTTACTTTGGAACATTCATTCACGGATTTGCACTACGCCACGTCCTGCAGCGTCTTCACACATAGACAAAACTTACTAGAGAAGTGTGAAGTGTGACACAATATACCTTCGTAAATGAATGCAATTTAAATTCACGCCTCGCACACTTTAATGTACTTTAAATGGAACAGAGACGTTCCCTTTGAACTGGAATCATGGTGGAATGTCCTGTGATGTCCACTACGAAGGGCACTTACGGTCGAATAGAACAAACGTCTGAAGTGATATGAGATACATACAAAATGTGCAGAGTGGTGGTGAGCGAGCCGAGGACTGGAATTGAGAACCACCATAATGGTTTGGTAACCATAATTCATAGAGACCCTAAACTTGTCAGGAAGGTCCCAAACATCTGCATCTATCCAACACTAGGTGGCGCAATAATAATATGATTTGATTAATTAAAGCATTGTGATGATATAAGTGAATTAAGCAGTCGGCAACCCTCTTTATTCACAAATTGATCTTTATGTCCTGAACGCAATAACAAAACGTAATGAAACTTGATATACATAGACCAGGGGTGGCGAACGTCGGTCCTGGAGAGCCGCATCCCTGCAGAGTTTTGCTTTATCAAGATATTTTGAGAGTTCACACTAAATTGCATCAAAGTTGCACCTATAGGAGACGCTACAACTCAACACTGTAACTGTAGGATCAGTAAAGTTGAAAATTATTATGAATCTTCTGTGGTGGATGTCATAACATAATATGACATGTCTACATAAAAAGACTACTAGCCAATCAAATTTCAAGAACTAATAACGTCAAATCTGAGTGCCTGGGGAAAATTTTGAGTGGATGATGGTGTAAGATGTGTTTTGTGTAGCTCCTCTGATTTTTCACTCAATTTTCATTAAAACGAGACATCGACGATACCAGCATTTCCCGCGAGCATTTTGAGCGCTGTTGAGCGGATTCTTAAACACCTCTGATTGGCCATTGTGTTCCTCCTATCAGAGGATCCAATTATGAGCAGATATATTAGGTGTTACGGGGCAAACAAGACAAGAGGCGTGCGGATCCATGTGCAAAGCTTTATTCTGAAACAGTCAAAACAGGCAAGGGTCGGACAATGGCAACCAGGTATATAGAGGGCAAGACTGAAGAGTAATCCGAAACACAAGCGATGGTCCAGGCGAGGAATAAACTCGATCGAACGGAAGTCCATGGACAGGATTCGTGACATTAGGGATCCGCTGATAGATGCGGAATTGTGATTTTTTTTTAAATGTGAATTTTGCTTAAAACATTAAAATTATCTGCCAGTGGGGTAAGAAAAATTATCTTGTTTTAATCTTGGATTATTTTTCTTACCCCACTGCCAGATAATTTTAATTGTTGTAAGCAAAATTCACATAAAAAAAATAAAATCACAAAATTCTGCATCTATCAGCGGAAATTTTCCCCCCCAAGGAAACAAGACTAAATATCATTTTGCTTATCTAGTAAATGCATCTCGATTTAAGAATCTTTTTGATATTTTGCAGTTTGTGTAGTGCGAGAGTCAATGTAATGGAAGGGTGACCTCTGGTGTCGATCGAACGGAAGTCCATGGACAGGATTCGTGACATTAGGGATCCGCTGATAGATGCGGAATTGTGATTTTTTTTAAAATGTGAATTTTGCTTAAAACATTAAAATTATCTGCCAGTGGGGTAAGAAAAATTATCTTGTTTTAATCTTGGATTATTTTTCTTACCCCACTGCCAGATAATTTTAATTGTTGTAAGCAAAATTCACATAAAAAAAATAAAATCACAAAATTCTGCATCTATCAGCGGAAATTTTCCCCCCCAAGGAAACAAGACTAAATATCATTTTGCTTATCTAGTAAATGCATCTCGATTTAAGAATCTTTTTGATATTTTGACTAGAAACAAGACAAAAATACTAAGTAAAATAAGCCTTTTTTGCAGTGTAACCTTTAATGGTCGTCCCATCCAAATCTTTTCAGCATCACATACTCTGAATGGGGGCTTGGCACAGGATCTAGATATTATGTTGTTGGATGCAGAAAAGGCATTCGATCTAACTATTTACAGTAAAAAATTATACAGTATATATAGTATATACATATAGTAGTCAACATTTGAAGTGGATCAAAACCTTTCATCAAAGTTGTCCTAAAACCTAAAATCAAAATGCGTTTTTGTCTTGGGACAAATTTGATGAACTTTTTTGTGCTGTTTGAGGCTATATTTGTATTTATTAATTTATGTCAATTGGTGTATTTTTATCATTTACATTTAGTCATTTAGCAGACGCTTTTATCCAAAGCGACTTACAAATGAGGACAATAAAAGCAGTCAAAACTAACAAAAGAGCAACAATATATAAGTGCAAATGACAAGTCTCGGTTAGCCTAATGCAGTACACGTAGCAAGGTGTATATATATATATATATATATATATATTATACACACACACATATTCACACACACACACACACACACAAAGAAAAACAAGTAGATAGAATAAAAAAAATAGAAAGCTAGTGTTATCACTTATATATTTTTCCATCTAAGTACGTGGCATGTTAACACAACGTTTTAAAGTTCTTGCTAATTTCTTAATCTTTTTTTCTGTCTACAGGTGAAAGCTTCACTTGGAATGAACATTTTCAGTACTTTAACCGCAGGCATCGCCATTATTTTCACTTCACTGGATTTGGCTTTAGGACCAATGAACTCTTACTGCAGCGGTTATGACTGTTATTATTTAGAGACAAAGTATAAGGTATGTCATCAACTTTTATATTCACATTTAATATCAAATTGTGTCTAAACGGAAATGAAACTTTTATTTCGTAATTACAGTAAGATCACTGTGTGGTCAGTACACAAGCCTTAATCTGCACTCATCTGTTCACTCTTATCTGGTATTTCAGAAGTAGTTTATAGATCATTTACAATGCAAGAAGTCATTGGCATTATACGTTTATTGTAAACTCAGTCCAGTTTGACCTATAAGGGTCAGATTTACTAGCAGCTTGTGACAGTGCAAACCATCTTTTGCCGTTAAAAACTACTGTCAGGGTTTACTAAAGACATGCAGCGAAACATCAGTGAAAAGGACACAGTTATATTTGTGGCTTACCTTTATTATATTTGCATTTGTAGGATTTTCCTTTTTATTTGCATTGGATTGCATGGGTCATTATGGAAATGAGATGTTGTGCCTGTGTTCTTTAATTTGCCCTGTTTTGAAAATCTGGCCCTAAATGTGTTATATTACTATATGAACCTCAAGGATAGTAGATTCTTGACTGCTGAGCATTCAGTGTACCAGTGTGAGTAGTAATTATCATTTATTTTGTTACAATTATTTGTGCTAATGTTGAATTTTCTCTCAGACTCTCTTCAGGGGAATCAGTGGTGTATTGTTGGTATTCACCTTGCTTGAGTTTATCATCTCCATCTGTCTGTCAGCATTTGCCTGTAGAGCTAGCCCCTGCTGTTGTCCTTCTCAGGTGAGTAATGAGGCAATTCAGGAGTTCTCAAATGTTTTGTGTGTCAACTGAACCCCCTGAGATGGAGTTTGTGAGAAACAGCATTTACTGTGAATTTAGTAGCCCTAAAAACGTATAGCATTAAATGTAAATCAGCTTTCATGCGACATAGTTTTACATGCATAGATGTATCCCATTAACACAAACTCATGATTCAAACGAAACTTTCCAAAGCACTTGACACATTCCCATGTTCCCAATCATTTTGTCTAGCTTCACTTTGAAATAAAGATTACATACATTTCTAAATGAGCAATTTTGAGTGTTAGTATATACATTTACTTATTCTTTTTAAATACTTAAAATACAAATCATGGTTATTATATTTTTTATGTATAAAACCATTAAATAATTTATGTCCCTCAAACTTACTGGTGATGTTTGCCCTTTTTAAATCTTAAAGGGGTCATATGATGCGATTTCAAGTTTTCCTTTCTCTTTGGAGTGTATCAACAGTAGAATCAGCATCCTAGTTCCACCCCTGTTCATTTTATCCATATCCACTGGGATGCCAGCTCTGTCTTTTTAGTGTTATTTGCTACCAGCCGTCTCCTTGCAGTGTTGCCAACCAGCTGTCTCTTGACTGTCAATCCCAAGCAGGCCAAGGGTCCTCCAAAGTGACTTGCCAGTAAAACATGCAGCCAACCTCTACCGGCAGACTCCTTCATCATTCCTGTTGTTATTATTTAATAGTCTAAAACTTAACATGTACACCCTGTTGTGTCAGTTCATACTGGACATGTTAATCTTCTTCTAGCATGTTGTTCTATACCCCATCTATGTCATATAACAGGGTGGATAAATTTCCTAGGCCACATGTGAAATATTTGCTCAGGGTTCTTAGGTTATACTTGAACTTAAGGCCTGAGTTCAACCTTTGTGTTTTCTGATAGATACACATTTTCTCCTCCTGATAGAACTAAAAAATAAATCCAACAAACCTGCTCATTTCAAAATAATCCACCTCGCACCTCATACTAGAACCACAAAACGAGTTTAAGGATTCATTTGCTTTAATTCAATTTCTGATTTTACTGTATGGTCACAAATGTAAATCTGTAATACTGATGCATTTCTGGCATCTCACAGTAAGACGACATAAAACATTACATACACATTTTTTTCCCAAAGGTGCAGTTTGTCCCTCAAGTTCTACCTCCACAGCCCTCTGATTTCAGGCCCATTAATTTCCATGGTCTTAACAGCTCAGTGGTAAGAGAAACTTGTAAACCCAATTTAGATGGACTTTGAGTAAAATTAAAAAATATATATATATATATTATTTGAATTTAGTATTGAGTGTCCATGTACTGGAAATATGCAAGGCAAACTCGGTAATGGGTGCAATAATTGTTACATAATATTATCAATAAAAAAGTAATCATTAAGCTGATCATATAGTGTTTTTTTTCTTGTAGATACCTGTGGTCAGCAGCTCTTCCATTCATCACCAGCCTGCAGATGCTCCTCCACAATACAGTGAATTCAAATAAATATGTTCCCTTATGAAACAAAAATATATGGGAATATTTAAGAAAATATAATGCAATACATTAAATAATACATCTCCATATATGGGAAACTAGTGCTTATATTTTTCAATATACTGCAATATATTCATGAAACATGTATGGCTACATATATACTATGCATATTATATACTGATGCATATTTAAAAAATATACATTTTTACATGTAATAGCTTTACTGAAACATAATCATAAACTACTATCACTTTATTGTTTGCATATTTACACATTTCATATATATAAGAAAAGTGTGAACTGGAAAAAATGTTGGACTATTGGATGTCTTTAAATCATGGTGGGTGGAAAATGAAAACTGATATTTATAACTTTATCTCACAGTATACATTTACATTTTTCACATGTATATCTATACATTATGAAGAATTTTATTGAATACATACATAGAATGCAGCCATCCCTTATGTAAACATTAAACAATTTAATACACTGATAGTTAATATTTAAGAAAATATATTTTCTTTGCAATGGGTTTTCCCACTGTCCATTATCTCTAATATCCTCTCATTAGAAAAGAGAACATGAACGCAAATAAAGAAATCACTTGTTCAGATAATAATTGCAGTTTTCACATAAGTCACAAACGATATCTATTCAAAACTAGAAACTGTTTCATGATTTTCTTCCTTTAGTTATGTCAAGAATGCTGCAATAAATGATTCATAATTTATTGATTCTCCCTAATTCTTTTTTTTTTAAAGAAATTTTCCTTTTTAAAAATCTGAAACTGTGATGATAATCCAGTGTGGGCTCTGGTTTGCTACACTTCATGCTCTGCCTTGCCCCTTTCAACTCATATGGCCCGAACTGTGGTCAATATGACACATCATGAGGTGTAACAATAAACACATTCTTCTCCTTCACCAGTATCAGCTCAATTTGTCCGAATTCAGTGGACTCGCCTTGGCTCTCACAAAGAAGGAACCCCTTTTTGTAGAGAGTCCCTTTCCAATGTACCTCAGTAGATTACAAAATATTGGGTTCTTTGGCCATGGTTGATCCCACAGCAGAGTTCAACGTGGAAAGGAGTGGAGTTCTTTAGCACCAATGGTGGTGCAAAAAAGGAACCTGAATGTAGGTATGCTTGCAGTAGCTGGTGGCTCCTGGCAAGTATTTGGCCTACATTTTTTAAATGTTGTATCTTGCAGACACATCTTTTGAAATATGAACGCTTTCGAAGCGTATTGTCCAAAGCCGCATTAGTGGACCAAGTTTCAATATCAATGCAGGGAAGTGAGTTAGATAATGATGCTTGGGTCACGGATGGTCATGGATCCGAACATTGAGCAAAGCAATTTGAGGTACTGATATTCTAGGGCAGGGCTGCCCAAACTCGGTCCTGGAGGGCCGGTGTCCTGCAGAGTTTAGCTCCAACCCCAATTCA